GCTAGCGCAGAAGATGAGAGGAGCAGAGGGTTACTCTCGCGGAGTGCTCTCTACAAGACCCTGACTGTCTGCTCCCCGAACTTGAGCCTTGGTCAGGGGAAGGGATGCAGGGAAGCTGCCCAGTGGGCCAGCTCAACTACGCTAGCTCCAGAAACGGTACATTTTCTATGACTGGCCACGAGATTATCCGACGAACGAACACCAATCATTAATCATTTCTCACAGGTAACGACAAGGAAGCGCAAGCACTTCGGAAAAGGTGAGAGGGTTTTGGAATGCCTCCAGAATCCCCAGATGATTTGAAAAACTAATAGATATGCCGAATATGACCCCTCGACATTCGCTTATATACTCAAATGGGAAACACGCCCAGATAATTCACCGGAACCCCGACAGCGGCAGTATCAAGTAAATGAGTGCTTGATCGTGCTCAGGAGAAGCCCGAGGGGGGGGGGGGAGAAGACAAGACTGCATCACTTTTTTGTCCAACCGGTATACTGTTGGGACCAGCAGTCCACTTAGCTTTCCTTCATGCGCCTTCATACATCGTGATCCAATCGCTTGGATCACGAAGTATGACGGCGCTTTCAGGAATCGCAGAAGTAGAGGCCCATCAACTTTATACCGGTTGCCTTCATTAAAACTGGACTTTGCCCCTCTTCCTCGTAACAAGGACAAAACCGTAGGGAAACCAATTACGACTCAACCTTGCCTCTCTGACCATCCAAGGTTATGCCCTCGGGAGTATGATGTCGCGGCTCCGGCTGTAGATCCATATATTCGGGAAGGCTGTGTGCCGAACACGTTCATTACCTTAAAAATTGCACACGTTAGGTGCTACGAAATAATTGTTTTTGTGGTGATATGTAGTGGTACAGTTTTGCTGGTTTCGGCTGAAGGAGGCAGCTCAGGCGGCATACATTTGCGCCCCCCAAACTTTCTATCAGCTGTGCAACGATAAGCGCAAGGGTGTAATATACTGCTCGTTTTCCACCAATTGTTGTCGTTTAAAAGCTCCGACAACTGATGAAGAAAGGTTTTGGCACCGCGCCAAGCCGCCTGACAAGCCCTTAATCTGCTGCGAACAAGACTGGTAATTGGCCTAGAATTCTTTAAGCATCAACCACGCACTTCTGCTTGAGCAGCAGCAGGAGTTGCATCTGCAGGAGCTCCAGCAACACATCCGGCAATTGCTTGGCCCATGCCAGAGCGCAAGATTGACGGCACATTCTAAAAAATTGGATTGAATAAATGAGGAATTATGAGCGGCTGGAAACCTTACCTTTTCAAAATATAACTTCGCAATCTTCGCTTCAAGTTTAAATGCGCGATATTCCTTGTCATCAATAACTTCCCTTATACTGTATGACATTATACCTGAACACTTGTTTAAAAGGCGGTTGGGCACGATCGCTAGAGGCGGGCGATTGTTGCCAAAGTCATTGGGGGAGGAGATGCGAGAAGGCGCTTGACCACACCTCATTCATTCCTTTCGCCAGTAACGTTGGCGACAACCGCCCGCCCAAAGCGACCGTACCCACTGCTCTTGAGCAAAAAAAAAATTCAAAACTTCCACAACTTCGTTTTCTTTCGTAGTATGACCTCAGCGATGAACTCACCATATCTATCACTTAAGGAGCGTAATTTCCCGACGACCATCACTTTGACGCCCTCCACAAACGTTTGGGGCCATGTCCGAATCCGACACCTGAAAAAATGCGATCACATCTTGCAGGTAACTGTAAACTCCGGCTCTGTTAAACATACCCCATTATAAGTGAGCACTTCATACTCCTTGCTCATATCCTCTGGGTCACCTAGAAGATGAGTCGATGTGTTTTCGTTCTCCGAGACTGATTTTACTGTTCCCATCGTCAAAACCTGAAATTTACATGCAGATACGATTAGCAGTTTGTGATATGGACTCATACTAGGACTTATTTTGTGTCATTTCTAGGCCGAGCTCAAACATTGTGAACGCGGATTGCACAAAAAAAGGTATACGCATAGATAGCGACAACCTGAGATCTGGGAGAATCGGTGACAAATGGGAATTGTCTGTCTCCACCTACCGGAGCGTCTTGGAGTTTCTAAGAGTGGAGTCAACTTCTCCCAGATGGTGAATCGAAGTGCAACTCCATTTACGAGCATTCTTCACCTACAAAAGCCCTTTCCACTTCTGCAAAATGCCTTAGAATAACAGAATAGAGGCTCAGCTAGTAGGTCTGAGCCTCGCTGTCACTAGCACAAACCTTGCCTGTTTCTTTTCTCCAAATGAGCACGCGACTCTCAGGCCTTTCGCCGAGCTGAAAACGCTAACACTGCTCAGTTTGAGGCATATTATCCGCAGACAGGCGGGGCTTCTAGTAAGTCCCAGTGGAAATTCGGTCATGGTGGATGGAGCCATCCTGACAGTCCGTACGCACCCTTGCCTACTCTTTAATTTTGCCTTGTGTTAGATGTATCGTAGCCGACTTCTGAGTAGCAGTAGAAATTTTCTGGTCAACATCCGGGTAAAAGATAACGAAGTTTGGAGGCTAACGAAGGGCAGTGGGGCCAAGCGTGGCACGGTATGTCTACTCTATGAGAGTTAGCCGCGCATGACTTCGCTCCGCTCTTCTTTCCGTCCCCCCCCCGCCCCCCAAGGTTCAGCGCTGGGAGAAGTGTGTTGCTTGGTTAGGCGAGACTAGTCCGTAGTCTAGTTGCTGCGGACGAAGGGACGTGTCAGGAAGGATGAGTCTGGCGCGTGCCTAACCAAACCTTACTTCTGCCTGGATAGCAGATACATAGATAGATAGCAGCGCTCTCCGAGCGTCAGTCTTGGTAGAAGAATGGTGCGAAACGACTAAAGCCGTGCGCATCTGTGCGGAACAGACATTCCACGAGGGTGGCTGCGCAAGTAAGTTAGCACAAAATTGCCCATTCTCTACGTCGAATATGCTCAAATCTACAGAATGTATCCGCAAGAGCTTACCGTGCTGAACGGATAATCCCCAAGCTGATACTTTTCCTCGGCACTTGCAGTGTCAAAAAGATCGGCAATGGTCACCGGAACCGGCAATCTTTCGGCGACTTTCGTTGACTGTGCTTCTTTCGGGGCACTCGTAGCAAACGAAACATCGCCGGCCCATCCACCAGCATCAGCAACAGAGAAGCTTTCGTTCCATGCCATGTCTGAAATCTATGGATAAAATATTGCAATTTTCGGGAGAACAAATAGTCTTGGACGCAAAACTAGGACATAACACGTACACATCATACGTCAGAGGGATACTTTAGAAAGAAAAGAATTACAAGATCACATTCACATTTCCTGTCCCAGCTGGACTCCAAGAACCGCCTTCAAGGAAGGACCGCATAATTTAGTTATTTGCAGGTTGAGATATCAAAGATGGCAATATGAGGGGGTCAACAAGTAAAAAAGCAGCGAACCAACTCATGCAAAACTCAGCACAAAAATCCGTACACAAGGCATTTTTGCGCAAAGCGGCAACGATTTGAAAGCGAAAATCGCGCTATGGCTTACGTTTTGTGTTGGCAATTTGCACACACCAGTGGTCGCCGTAAGCACCACGCTAATTTTTCTGTGGCAAGGGCTGGCGTGAGGGAAGCTTGCAGTGCGTGCGATCTCCAGTGACCGCACTGTGTTTGAGACGCCTGAACTCGGAACAACTGTGCCTTGGCCGCTAAAGAGAATTAATTTGAGTTTATTTTTGGTATATTACTGGTGGTAGCTCCGTTGAAATGCGTAAAATATCTACGCAACCACACGAAGCCAACGAGGTCTTCTGTCCGGAAGACTCACTAGATTTCCGGGGCAAGAGTGCCGTATTGTGATTTTTTATCGTCTAGCCTCTTATGTATTTCTGAGCGTTTTGTGTGCCACTGAAGCTTTTTTCGTGTTGTAATAATTGGTAAGCTAAATATGTGGTAGTTTAGGTAACCATAGGAGTACCTTTTTCATACCAGTACCCTACATGACGTCACTTTCAAGTCAACTCCAGTCACTTCGCACAGCTACAGCTCAGCATCAGACGGTTGAAAGGCGGCATGTTTCGCTGTTGTTCGCCAGAAAGGAGGCTGAAACACTTGACAGAGAAACTGTTTATAATATAGGTACGTATACATGGCGACTGCAAGTATTTTTTTAGCCAAAATTCGCCTTAACGTTACCTCGTTTATTTACGGTAGCATCTGTGCGGTTTGTATGAGGCAGCGCCTTTTCAGTGATCTATTCTGTTAAGGCTGTGCGGGTTTGCGGAAGCTGAAGCAGTTGGACCCGGAAATCGCAGCTCACAATGATCTTTTCGATGAGTCTCGGCTACATTTCCAGCGTTCCATGATAACAAATGAGGAGAATTTGGCACTTAATGAGAAAATTGAGAAGCTTCTATTCCAGCTCTCCCCATACGTAGAGCATTTTGCTTGCCAGCAAGTACTAGAATGGCTCGTGTTCAGGTACCAGGCAAGTTTCCTTAACACGTTCGAATTCTTTTTAAACTTCTTTTATTTAACACATTGCCGACAGACGTTCTGCTAGGACCTCCGCATCATCTCCAAAAACGTGCTCTGATAACAGGATAGCATGAAATAGTTTCCAAATAGACCATTTGGGACAGAGCAGAGAGAGAAAGGTATGACACACCATGTGTGTCACGAGTTCTAGGACGTGACCAAGATGGAGGGGAAGCGCCAAGCGCAATCAGGATTAATCGAGAGAAGATGTGAAACTTCCAAGACTTTTACATGAAAAAATCAAAATAAATGTGGGGGCTTGCTGTAGTTGAATGGGGAGGATACGCCAAGGCACGGCCAAGTGATGCGTTCCCCTCGAGGTTGGAGGGTTAGAGTACAGCGTCGTGATGTTGGAAGGGTGCCGTCGCTTACGAAATTTTGTTCACTGGTGCCACCCCTCCCCTGGTGTGATCATCCCAGCGAACACCCTACTGACTACCAGGCGCATCCTTGTCTCAGGGTAATAGGAGCTGGTTTAGTTGCGACGCCTGGGTGACCTTCTCAACTATATCTGACCCAAGAGTTCTGAAATCAGTATATATCCCAGAAATCCTCTCATTAACTGCGTTCAGATTTACGCCTACAACGCAGAGAGCATGATCCTGACGTTTCTTCCATTCCACGAAACTAACTTTTTTGGTCGCATGTTATCTATACTCGAGTACAACTTTTCGACATCAAAGGATTGGGCTTTTCTGGAGGGTTTTTGCAAAAAAGAATACCCTGTTCCATTCAGTGCCGTGAGTTGTTTTCTTTCATTCGGATGATATCTTTGAATAGTGCTCTCCGTTTCAGATTGTAAAGAACACACTTTCAAGTACCCATTCGTTTAATTACTCGGATTGGTGATCACCTCAACCGGGGATCCAGGTGATAGTTTTGTAGTTCTCATTCAGAGCCAAGAAAATCAGCAAAGTGAACGTTTCAGTTGGTGGGAGAAGAATTCTTGGAAAAGAGATGTCATATGTTATTCACATTCTACACGAAACTTCTTATTGCTGTCCTAGAGGAATCCACAAAGATTGACGATATGTTGCTGGCTAAAATTATCCCGCTTATCGCTATTGGATTGAAGTGAGTTTCGCTTTCATCCCTTTCAAGCTGCAGTCGTACAGTCCTATTCACTGTGGATGATGGGGCGTTTTAGGAGGGGAGGGGGGGGGGATCGCTGAATTGGGTGCTAGCCAGTAGTTCACCAACTGTGTCGCCTGTCAGCCTCCGCAATTGGTGAAAAACAAGCCCGGTGCTGCGACAGATCCACCTCCTCCCTGAAACGCCCCTGCGTCCTCAGCGAAGGAGGCTAGTTGAATGCTAGGAAATTGTGTAGCATTCTGTAGAGGAAGTCGAATACGGTAACAGACGCTTTTACAATGAGTATATTCTGAATATGCTTATGTAAGCTCTTAGTTGGCGAGCTGATGTCCAATCTGAGCGAATTTTAGCGGCTAGTAATTTGTACCGTTTTTTAGAAGTGCTCTTCCATCCTTCCGCCAGGCATCGTTGATGGTAATTTGTCAACTGGCCACCGCCGTGAATCTTGACACCTAGACTTGTGGCGTCACTCACGAAAGTTGTCTTGATGGTATGTATTTACCTGCTCTATTAGAGCTCTATTAGACTGTGGGAACGTTGAATTCGTCGATAAAAAGTTGGCCGGCTTGGGGAGGGCAGTTCGCTCTTTTTTTCGTTATACTGGTTCATGTTGAATGGGTCTCATATTAGTGAGACTATAAGCTCTTGTGAAGCTGCAAAATGGAATGAGCCACTTTGGCTGCACAGTCTTCGCTGAGTACCATTTACTGCGCCCACCAAGCCTAGCACCAAAATTTGAAATATATATAAAAGCTTTGTGCAAACAAGGCAGATTCTCTTCTCTGGGGAGTCTTGTGTGGATTTCCTCCATATAAAAACTTCATAACAAATTCATTCCGGTTACAAA